AAAATTTGATTTCGAGCAACCAGTTTTAACACACGATTTCTTGGTCATTTTTGATCTTATTGATATAAGAACGATATAATCGGAAACCTAATAGGCTATTCTTTATTGCCATATAAAAATTATATGGTTTACTTTAGTATTTTATAAACAGCAGTCTGTCAAATTTAGATTCGAATTATTTTGATACACACTGTATATATATATATATATATATATATATATATATATATATATATATATATATATATATATATATATATATATATATATATATATATATATATATATATATATATATATATATATATATATATATATATATATATATATATATATATATATATATATATATATATATATATATATATATATATATAAAATACTCATTAATTATAATTCATACAACTTGTAGCAAATAATTTCTGCCATAACATGTCAGGTGGAGTGACTTTATATCTGATAAAGCATGTGGCGTAATATAATTGTTCATCCTAATTAGTATGATTATATAATGGTTCATTCTAATTAGTATCCTTTTGTAGTCGTATTTTAAGCTATTCAAAACACTCGTTGACGTGTCTTATCAGACATAAAACGTTCGGCTGCGCCTGGCGTTTTATATCTGATAAAAAACTCCTACTCGTGTTTAAATAGTACATACGTATATATATATGTATATATATATATATATATATATATATATATATATATATATATATATATATATATATATATATATATATATATATATATATATATATATAAACCTATAGAAACCTATAGAAACCTATAGAAACCTATATATATATATATATATAAACCTATCTAAACCTATAGAAACCTATATATATATATATATATATATATATATAACCTATAACCTATATATATAGCGTATGGCGGTAGAAACCTTGGAAAGGCCTATTAACAGTGTCACAGGAAACTATAAACACAGGAAAATTTTTTGGAAAACCATTATTGTGATGTACAATGGAAATTAAGCAATTCCCATTGTAAAAAACCAACAATGGAAAAGCGGAATTATATTATTACCCACTGATGGATATATGGTATTATCCATTCATGGATATGATATTACCCATTCATGGATATGATATTACCCATTCATGGATATGATATTACCCATTCATGGATATGATATTACCCATTCATGGATATGCTATTACTCATTCATGGATATGGTATTACACATTCATGGATATGATATTACCCGTTGATGGATATGCTATTACCCATTCATGGATATGCTATTACTCATTCATGGATATGGTATTACCCATTCATGGATATGGTATTACACATTCATGGATATGATATTACCCATTCATGGATATGGTATTACACATTCATGGATATGATATTACCCATTCATGGATATGATATTACGCATTCATGGATATGATATTACCCGTTCATGGATATGATATTACCCATTCATGGATATGATATTACCCATTCATGGATATGCTATTACCCATTCATGGATATGCTATTATACCCATTCATGGATATGGTATTATACCCATTCATGGATATGGTATTACACATTCATGGATATGGTATTACCCATTCATGGATATGGTATTACACATTCATGGATATGATATTACCCATTCATGGATATGGTATTACCTATTCGTGAATATGGTATTGCCCAATCATGGATTAAAGGAATACCGAATGGTTTTCCGTGCAGGATTGCGTGATCCATGCACGAGGGATGTCGCGAGACTTTCGGAAAGCGTAAAAATACTCGAGCCGCAGGCGAGTGTATTTTTACGCTTTCCGAAAGTCGAGCAACATCCCAAGTGCATGGATCACGCTATCCTGCTTGGAAAACCATTTGGTAATTGTTTTATAAAATAACTACAGTGAAACAATGACATTTTGAGAGTCCCGCGAAAATTCCGCGAGAGCATTTTAATTCCTCGTGCAGGATAGCCTGATCTTGCACGGCTATTAACCAATCAAATTGCGTGTTTCACTGCAGTTATTATATAAATGCTATTACTCATTCATGGATATGGTATTACCCATTCATGGATATGATATTACACATTCATGGATATGGTATTACCTATTCATGGATATGGTATTACCCAGCCTAGTCCCTGGCCTTCCAAGCGCGGGCGAGTTACAGGCTGTCGTGAACTTGCGGGCTGTCAGTTTCGGAAAATATCCAAGCTGGGTCGCGCTAGAAGGCCTAGCAAAATTCGCAATAATCAACTACGCATGTCCTACGTAGGCCAACATGGCGGAATATCAACATGCGGTAAGTATTTTTAAATCTTCAGTATTGTATTAAAATGAAACAAATGCTTATAAATTATTTAAATTTTGTATTTTGTTTCGTTGATAAACTTTTCAGGATACCACTGGGACTCAAATTAATTTGTTGGCTTGCCCACACAAAGATTGTGTTGAGCGCAATGATTTGTACAAAAATGTTAAACAGCATTTCTCGACCCAGCACGGCAAACAACAGCAGCTGGACGTAGATGCTGCAAAATTCCATGCCCTGGCAGTAAGGGGAAGATTAATGGAACATAAAATTTCACTCGCTAATGAAAGTACGGTAAGATGATCGAATAATGAATTGATTTTTATATTATACTAAAAGTATATTGCAGTATCAATACGAATGCATTCATATATATTTTATACACAACTATTGTCTAACCGAAGCCCTAAGATTTGACACGTACATACCAGATTTAAGTTTTATTAGTGAAATATATGGAATCTGACTATCAGTATCAGGCTAACTGAAAAGTCAAATTGAGCATGATGTACTCTGGCTAATTGAATTTTATTTAATTATACCCAATATTTTTTGTTGACAAGTAAAATTATCTGGCAATTAAACAAAGTAAAATACCATGATGGGATAATTAGGTGTTTTGCACAATAATATCTGGCAGTGTGCCCAGATTCATCTTACTTTATTATTTAATACTCTGTCTAATGCCAGACAATTTTACTTGTCAGTGTTATATGGTACTGCAATTAAGTGGGTTATGCAGTTTTTAATATATTCAGGACAGTGTATCAAGAGAAATGTTCATTGTAACTTATGGTGGAAAATCAATGGACATTAAAGATGTTGACCACTACAATGCGGCCCTTAAAGCTTCTTATGTTTTGCTTGAAAATGGCAGATTGAAGAAGTATTCAAGTTGCCCATACAGAATCCATAACTGTCCATGGATCAACATTAACCCAGGTGTACAAGGTATGGAAATCCTTAAGTACAGAAAGACTGCAAATACCAGTAATGGAGTGCACAAAAACATTTGTCAATGAAAACTGGTTTAGCAATCCTGAAAATTCACTAGATTCATCATCATCATCTACTTCTGGTACAACAACTTGTCATACTCCATATTCATGGAACATATGGACATTAATGACAGTGACTCTATTTCACCAATGCCTTGCATACCTGAAAATGTGAATTGTGCAGAAGACTTGCAGATTATGTGACAACATTGTTGAAGAAGTAACAAATTATGTGACAACATTGTTGAAGAAGTAAAAGGTTATGATTGCTCTATTGTATATTGTTCGACACGTTGTGATTGTGAAAACATGTGTGCTAAACTTTGTGCCCGAGGTGTTAATGCAAAAGCATACCATGGTGACATGTCTAAGTCTCTAAAAGAAGACTGTTTTCAAAGATGGAAATCTGGTGATATTAAGTGCCTGGTTTCCACAAAAGCATTTGGGATGGGAGTAGATAAGCCTGACGTAAGAGCTGGTATACACATGTCAATGCCAAGCAGCATGGAAGACTACTACCAAGAAACAGGTCGGGGAGATAGAGATTCAAATTGCACTTTTCCTACCTTCTGGTGTCTTAGGGGTGCCTTACGTGCTTGTGTGATGGAAGACGGGTTGAGGCAGCACTTTCCTTGCGATAGTAACTTCTAGTGTTACAGTTAAATATTGTACATCTAAAATGACATTGGAATAACCAGCCAGGGTTGCTTTCAGGGATTTTTAGGTCCGTATAATCGTTCCCACCCCCGCCCCGTGCCATAAACACCTTTTTTCTACCAAAACGAACCCACCAAAATTCCTGAAAAAAAAAACATGTGACACGAATACTATTATTTCAATTTTTTTAATATGTAAATGAGTAAATATATCCGATAATTTATGACGTCAAGTTGGTTGCTCTTCAAATTGGTTGAAATTCACTGATAAAACTGATGATACATTGGAGAAAAAGTGCACTGATATCTACAGTTTTTATAGTTAATATACTTATAATCAGTGTAAGTTAAACTTGCAACCAATGTGATGTCATATTCGCTCTCGTTTACATATGAAAAAAATAGAAATATATCGAGAACAAATCATGTGAACAAGAAACAGCAAACAAATTTATACTATAGTTTCAATAGTTCTTTCACTCAACACAGTAATAATTTTCGTGAAAAACTATATAGAAAAACTATACTTGCATACAGTAGATATTGTCTATTTTTCCAAGGGAAATAGTCTGTACAGTATTTCTTTGATATTTTTTTTAAATAAATGACTCTCCTCTGGATTTCACACCTGCGCATTTTTGCGCTACATTCTTTGTCTATCTGTAAGTACAAACGACTTGTTATGATCTAACACTGGGATTTCTTCTCTGTCTTGTGAAATAAACCACCCTTGTTGGATAGCAAACCATGCTATTTTTAGGCGGTCTGGCGTGGAATCCGGAACTACACTCTGTACCCGACTGTGAACATCATAACCTACCTTGTACACGTCCTTAATATGGGTCAACAATTCTGAATTCATGTTAACTTTCCTCATCATAGATAATCTACTGTGGTGCTTTGCAAAAAGCTTAAGAGGACGTACCATATATGTCTCTACAAACTCATCCAATGCCAGGTTATGACCGAGTCGTCCTCTGTATGAAATAGACATGTTTTTTTCGGTACATTTCGCGAATTGCATAGGGCCATAATGATGTGAAATTAGTTATATGGGCTATAAGCCTCATCTTTATAATTCTTTTTATTTAACGCACAAAACAAAACGAGTGATGACAGCCAACATGCTTCTCTTGTTTTCGCATTGCCGTAACGAACAGATTCATGGAATGCCAGCAAGAGTGGGCCATATGTTTTAATGAAATTACTGTGATATGCCGCGACGTTATCGCTCTGACTAACATCTTCTAGGTACACTTTGAATTTTTCAAGCAATACGTCATTCACGTTGCCACATCTTGATTGAATTTCAGATAGTGTTTCATTGTCTGGAAACGAATCGGATGATACAAATGAAATAACAGCTGCAAAACAAAGTCCCCAGAAGTAGTTGTTCAATGCATCCATGTTCCTTTCGTAGTTTCCTTCCTTAAATATGTCAACAAATGATTTTGGCGTCACCTTAAGACGTCCTAGTACTTGTCTGATAGTATAGAAGAAGCCCCCAGGCCCGCTGATACGAGAAAGGCATTCCATCACATAGGCTTGTGTATGGAAGTCTCCGGGAATTTCCTTGAAAGAGCCGAACTCATCGGGTGCACGATTGCGAACACCTCTCAAAGTAGATGTTGATTTCGCATCTCCAACTGTTAGGTTAAAATGTGATCGAACATCACCTCTTGATGACAGTGATGCATTTTCTTCACTGCATTTTACGTCTGTTGACTGCACCGAAGACGACAGTTCTTTCGACAAGCCAAGTTCCTCGCGCACTGTTTTCATCGCATTCGTTTCGTATAATGACTGATTTTCCAGAATTTGTATTATCTCATGATTTCCAATTTGCATTGCTATCTGAAAAGGACTTGGTATATTTCCTTGAAAGGTTCCTGTTGTTCTTGCTCCGTACTTGACAAGAATCCTTACTATATATCTGGTTGGTTATTGTTTACTGCTATCATGACTGGCGTAATCCCACATCCTTCTGAAACATTAACATTTGAACCAGCCAGAATAAGGCTTTCAACTAAACAAACACATTTGTCTTCAACAGCAAGGTGTAGAGGAGAACATCCATTGTCATCTGTAAGATCAACCCACAGTCCTCTGTTTACTGAAGATGCAACACTCTGTCTTTCTTTTTTGTGAATGAGAGTATATCATTTTTCAGTTTCTTCATGACGTCTTTGGCATTCTTCGACACCTGTTTCATGCGTTGTTTAAAAGAGCCTTCCTGACAGGAATCAACAGGCTTAGGGTCAATCCGTTGTTTCAAAATCATCAGGTTCGCTTTCTTCTAATTGGTTTCGCAGTTTCTCCATATCTTTCGCATGTCAATCCATTTCTTCATAAAACTTATAACGTTCACGTGCGGCGCTTATGTCAAATTTTTTATTGTGTTCGTTGTACGTGAGATGGTCATCTGTTTTGCAAATTGTTATATCGAGATCTTTTGCAAATTCGCGCAATACCGATGCAGTTTCAGTTGTGAGTGATTCATCTTCAATTGAGAGTGGTAGAACCATGACGTTCGTTTGTTTGGTAGATTCCGGGTATTCTTGGTCAATTTCAACACACTCGATCAAGTAGTAACTCTCAGATGTTTCTTCAGAACCATCCTTACTATCTCTTTTGTATAGTTACTCTTCGACATAGCTGTCAAAATCACTTTCAGTCATTTCTTTAAATTCAGCGTATGTGACGTCTAGTTCATGTATGACCATATGAAGGGCTTCAATCAAATAAGCGTCGTATCTGTTTTGAAGAAGTTCTTTAAGGTCTGGATACGAATCTACGATGAAATAAAATATACATAATGGATTATATTTTCACTAGTTTTTTTATTGAGCTTTATAATACTTGTTATTAGAAATTGACGTAGTAGTAATATTAATATTCGCCGAAACATTTGTATAATTTAATAAATATATGTCATGAAATGTTACCGATCTCTTTGTAGTTCTCCATTTTATGGGCGTTATTGAAAACAGTGATTAACACCTTCTATAAATCTAGGTTTCTGTATCGAGGTCAAAAGCGTGAATGGCGGCCCAATCTAGTTTCGTGGTACTGTCGGTTTTAGAGGTGAAATATTGAAAAAATGCTAAATATAACAGTACTAAATGATTGCTCACACATTCGCGCACAAGAAAATACAATGGCAATGAGGTAAAGATTTAGGACGCGCCGCTTTGCTCAATTGTGCGCTTCAAATCGCTACGTGACAACAGTTGTTTACCTAAAAAGAAATCTTCAGCTTTTAAATCTTTTATTGGTCGTTGTTCAGTGAGATCCATACTTTTCGCCGACAATGCATCAATGCCAGTAATATCTGGTTTCATAACTGCCCTTACTGTGAAGTTCCACATCGTTGGTGGTGCTTTTCGCTTTAGTCTTTCAAATACCTTGGTCTTCCATTCTGAATGTTAATATTGTCGAAAAGAAACATTACAGGGCAGCCATCTGGATAACGCAAAGTGACTCTGTCTTTATAATTGTGTAAAGACTTTCCAAGGAATCCGCGACTATATGTAAAAGTATAAAAGAGTTTTTATATAAGCTTACTTAAATAAACATTATAAATATAGTTACGGGAATATAAGGCCATAAGGGCGCTGGAATTTCATGCCTGCATGAAAACTCTGGTATATTATATTGGTTGTTAATGTTATGCAGTTGCAAATAGTCAGGCAGATAGAGGCTCAAAATTAAGGAAAACTTACTATATCGTGGGACAATTCCATTTTGCCTTCATGCCTGTTGTGCCCTGAAGACTAGTAAGTACGTTTCTGTATGTTGGCCGCGTTAAAATTTCTTGTGGGCTCCTGCCGACACGTTATTCTTCGAATTTTGTATTAACTCTATTACAGTTAAAAAATGTGAAATTTCTGATACATTTCTAATACAAATGACTTGAATCAATGGAAAGCTAACAAAAAACTACATAAAAGACATTTAAATGGTTAGTTGGGATTTTCAAGTGGTTTTCGAGTAATTGCTGTTTAAAATGTGAAAAATAAGCCAAAATCTTGCAAAAATTCCTGGGTACTAGTTTGAAAATACGCATTCAACAGCTCATAAGACAGAACTAAAGAAGAACTTGAAAATCCCGGGTAACCGTTTAAAAAAGTCATTTGTATTAGAAATCTGTATCAGAAATTTCACATTTTTAACTGTAATAGAGTTTAATACAAAATTCGAAGAATGTCCCACGATATAGTAAGTTTTTTCCTTCTATCTGCCCGACTAAAATAATTCCTTTAACATTCTAATTGTACAGTTACATTAATTGTAGTTAGTCCGGGACACACGGTTTTCAGTGGCTAACTTTAACTACTATCTTACATAACTGATCTCAGATAGTTTTTCCGCGCAACACTCTCGTTACCAGTCATGATAATTAACTTACTAGAATTCGTAGGATTTACAAAGGCCGAATGGCTCGAGCATGGTCAGCATAGCCTTTCCCGCACCGTGAGCAAACAACAACAGACCAAAAATAACAGAAAATGAGCTTTTTGTTCTTTCGCTCTTCACATCGTCCATAGCCAGAATAGCTTGTAAAGCGGCTTTAAATTTGTATTTTGAATCCTTCTTGCCACTATTTCGTTCAGTTGATGTTCCAACAGCTAGAGTTTCGACGATGCTTGTCAACAACGGGCATTTTCCCTTCACATTTTGTAGTGTATCGCGGTAAATATCGGATAACACAAGAGTATACTACATCTCTCCCCACTTTACTATAAAGTCCTCTTAGTATTTGTCTATTTCGATAGACTGTTCTTTATGTAATACGAGTTCCAATACTCTAAACAAAACTTTTAAATTTCAACATAGCAAGTGTGTCTTTTTTTATGACACTTAGATTAACGTGTCCGTTTATGACGTTTATTAATATCTCAGTCTGTTGGAAGGTTGTCTGTTCCGTTGAGATCTTCTGGAAGGTGGTGGTGCAACTTGTTGCTTCAAGTTGTGTCGGGAATGTGGGATTGGATCATCGGATTCATCGACTGTCGCATCTTCCGGGATGAAGGTAGCTTTAATTTTTTTGAAAAACGAAACGTTGCGGGTAACTTTATGAGAATCACGTTCAGTAGTGACCATACTTCCTTTTCTCGCTACGACCTTGTAAGGACTTGGATTAAAAGGAGTGGACAACTTGTTTGCTTTCGGTTGTTGGATTAGGACTGTATCTCCTACTTTTATTTCGCTGGTTTCAGAACGTCGTCGTTTGTCAGCGTATTCCTTCATCTTTCTTTTCTTCTCACTGTCCGTTTCGTGGATGGAATTATCTGCTTCAGGATTGGGAACTTCGGTGAGCTGGGGAAGAAGCGTTTGCAGTTTTCGGCTATTTAGAGCTTCAGATGGGGATGTGTTGGTGGTGCTATATGGAGTTGCACGGTACTGGCGTAGAAATACGTTTCCAGTTCTTTTTCTCTGAATGGGCTGTACGGATTGCTTTTTCGAGTGTTCGCATAAAACGTTCGACTTCACCATTAGCTAGGGGCCAATAGGGCGTAACCTTTCTGTGTAGAAAACCAAGGAAACTGGCGAAGTTTGCGAATTCTGCGCTATTGAACGGTGGGCCGTTGTCTGATTTTACGACTTTGGGTATCCCTTGTCTAGAGAAAATACCATCGAGTTTGGGTATGACGGCGTTTGCGGTTGTGGAATGGAGGATTTCGACTTCCGGAAATCTGCTGAATTCATCAATGACTACAAGTAGTGTTTCGCCCGATGGAAAGGGACCATCGAAGTCAATAGCAATTTCGTTCCATGGTGCTTTTGGTAGTGGGGTCATTTTTAGTGTGAAGTTTCTTCGAAACTTCACAGTATTGTGATGGTGAGGAAAATTCAAACGAAACAGTCAGTCAGTCAGTCATTCAGTCATACAGTAAACTTTCCGGGGGGCGTGTACGATTTATGTTCGTAGTGATTTATTGTGCTTAGTCAGTACTTTGAAGGTTATTTAGGCAATTTCAGTTAACTTATTTACATATTCTGTTATCCTTTTACCAAGTTCACAAAAATTTCGAGCAATCGCTTTCGTTATTGTAATTCTTTGTAAATTTTAGAACATTCGCTTCTCATTTGTGTAGAGGATCTTTACCCCGGAACACCCGATTTTTCTTTAGTAGCGCAAATGCGCATGCGCTATCAAGCCGTAGATCACGATGGCGTGACGATATGCTAGGAAGGAGTGACAGTGTTGTTTTCAGATGTATAAACATTTCAGACGTGAATATTGAGTAAATCTTTGAAAATCTACGCAATATATAAATTGATCTTATGCATTACGGCCGTTCAATTAATAAGTGTCGATAATATTTAGGCGGTATATTCATTATACAGAGCTAGGAAGGAGCTACACCGCCCAGACAGTGCATTTAAGACTCAAGTGTATAAACATTTCAGACGTAAATATTGAGCCGAAAATCTTTGAGATTCTAGGCATTCAATTGAGTGCTGATATTATTTTCACGGTATACTCATTATACAGGGGTACAGTATGTACGAAGAAGCGAGACAGTGTTGTTTTTCAAATATATAAACATTTCAGACATGAATATTGAGAAAATCTTTGACTGATTCTACGCAATAATATGATATATAAATCGATGAGTATGGTTACCGGCGTTCAATTAAGTGCCCATCGATAGACGATATTATTTAGACCGTGTATTCATTTTACATTGTTATTTGACTGTATAAGGTGCCACATCACAGAATAGTACACTCAGTCAAAGATCGAAAAATTGCGTCAGATCAATAAAGCATCACCAACTATTCAACAGAAGCGGGCGTTCGTACAGGCGTTTACGAAGAAAATATTGCGAGACGAAGGAAATCAGTTGAGTCAGAGCTCCTTATTTTAATAAGAAAGACGAGGAGATAGCCAATATGTTATCGCCAACGTGTTATCGCCAATCGTTTGGCTCACCAACAAGCTTTATGCAATGGAAGAAAAAAGCAAGGAGGTACATGTAGCCAACGTGTACTGTCGCGGACCTTGTTTACTGTCTAGCACAACGCCGTTGTCAACGGTGCAAATTCGTGTTCAGTGCAACGTTAACTCTACCGGATCTTACGAGAATTAATCTGTAGTATTCTGTACACAGAACTGTATCAAAGCTTGTCAAAACTGCTTTAAACACTGCTATAACTGTGAAACTATTGAAATCTAAAGTGACATTATTCAAAACATGCGAGAAGTTAAAAATAGACACAACGTGCACTGGGAAAAGTCAAAGGTCAATGCGGACTTGTTATTGTAAAACATGTCACAATTAGGTTAAAATGCGGAAGCGGATGGAGCGGACCACAGAACGGAAATGCGAAAAAATACGGAACGGATGAAGATAAAATGCTTCCTTTCAATGATGTAACGACGTAGTGCTTATTATTTATAACATATCGTATACATCTATTTCAATTATAAGTTTGCAGTAGCCTTGTGCGGATGCTTTTAGCGACAGGTGCAATTGAAATTTCGAATTGTCGCGTGTAGCATCACAATAAATAGATAAATTGTATCAGTTTCACAAAGCACGTTTCTGATGTGTTAGGCTTGTTTCAAACGTCACGCTACTCGTGTGTCGAGCGCATTAAAAGCAATATATATAATGAGATGAAATGCCGTTGGTGATTGTTTATTTCGTAGTGTAAGACATCAGCTTTTCTAGGTTGTCAGCGTCCCTATATAGTTCTTGCAGAATCTTTTTCAATTTGAAACTTCACACTATCCTTGGATCCCTAGTCAATGGTTCTGGTTTTGGCATGGTACCTTGTGTTGCAGCTTGGCACGGAATACAGTTTTTTATTCTCTCTTGAACCATTCTGTCGATCGACGGGAACCAAACTTTCTCGCGTAGTAGTCGCTTGGTCTTTACTATTCCCTGATGACCTGCCTGAGCCAACTCAATAGCTTGTTGCTGGAGTGATTGTGGAAGAACCAAACGTGTTCCTCGTAGGAGTATACCGTCACATTCGGATAGTTCGTCTTTTACATTTGTGTATGGTTGGATTTCTGGATCAGACCAAATACTTGTTTTAATTGCTTGCAAAAGTTTTTGGAGGGTGGAATCGTTCTCCGTTTCTTTCTTCACTTCTGACATCGTCATAGCTTTCGGAATTACGTTGTTGCAAAGATAGTTGACACAGTTTTCAGCGATATTATCCGGGAATGGAGTGGCTTTATGTGGATGACGGCTTATGAAGTCGGCAGGATTAGCATCATCTTTTCCTGGTCTGTATATGATCTCGTAGTGTAAGGCATTAATCTCAGCTTCCACCGGTCGATTCTAGGAGAGGTAGGCCTGTGGCTCTTGAATATTCCGAGAAGAGGTTTATGATCAGTTATTAGTGTGAACTTCGCACCGTATAGATAGAGATGATAATGCTCAGTTGCCCAGACGACTGCAAGCATCTCTCGTTCAGTCTAGGAGTAACGCGATTCGACACCGGACAGCGCGCGACTTCCGTAACTGATGACTTTTCCATCTTGCATTAGAACAGCTGCTAGACCCATGGGCCTTGCATCGACCAGTACTTCGGTGGGCTTTGTTGGGTCGAAGTAGGACATAACTCGATCACTGGTTAGCTCATCCTGTAGCTTTCGAAAGGCAGTTTCTTCTTCTTTGTCCCATTTCCACACAGAATTCTGATGGGTCAATGCACGTAGAGGGGCAGTGATGGCAGCGTAGTTAGGGATGAAACGTGAAACATATTGAGCCATACCAAGAAGGGACTTCACTTCACTTGGACTTTCTGGAGGTTGCATGGTTTTGATAGCATTGATTTTCTGAGGAGCAGTTTTGATCCCTTTCGCGCTGAAGGAATGTCCGTAGAAGATCCCTTCTGACTTACGGAAGGTGCATTTCGTTGGGTTGAGGCGGGCGTTGTATTCTCGTAGACGGGTTTAAACACGGTTTAGGTTTTCGTTATGCTCTCTGACGTCACGACCATAAACAATGATGTCATCGGAAATGTTTTTACATCCCGGCAGTCCGGTAAGAAGTTCAGCGATTGAATTTTGGAATATTTGCCAAACATGAGTCTCTTATATCGTCGAAGACCGGCATGGGTAGAAAATGTTGTCACATGACGGCTTTCCGGGTCAAGTTCGAGTTGGTGATAGCCAGACGTGAGATCTAGGGTACTGAATACAGTTGCGCCATTAAGATCAGCAATGAGTTCGTCAAGGGTTGGCATGAGGTGCTTTTTTCACGGCTTTATTTGCTTCCCGCATGTCAACACAGATACGGATTTCTGCGGATTTCTTTGGAACTACGACAATTGGACTCACCCAAGGGCTGGGGCCCTCGACTGTTTCGATAATATCTAGATCTTCTAGGCGTTTAATTTCTCTTTCAACGTCTTGACGAATATGAAATGGGATACGGCGGTGAGACTGTTCCTTAGGTTCAATCTCTGGATCAATATGCAACTTGATTGTCTTGTCCTTTATCTTGCCAATTCCATCGAACAAGTCTGGAAAATTTTGCTCGGGAGTTGTGTTGGGGGTATCTAAAACAGTGTTTACTGTTATCTTTAGGATTCCTAAACTTTCGGCAGTGTTGCAGCTCAAGAGATTACCATTTTGTCCCTTTGTGACATAGAAGGTTGCGTTGACGGTAGTGGACTGGAAACGAATTTTGCTGTAGTCATGCCCAGGAGTGGCAGTTCCATATTTGAGCCATATGTGAATATCTTGGATCGGGGTGTAGTGAGCACTGCGTTTTTGTTGCGCTTTCGAATCTTTTCGTAAGTGGATTCAATGGTTTGGACTGCTTCGTTAGCTATGTAAACTTCACAGAGTGGTGACGTATTGTGCTGATGGTTATTCTGCAAGGTGAATAGATATTGGGGTTCCTCTGATGGGGTTTCCGATACTTGGTGGATTTCGCGTCGCTCGGGTTTTGATCTGCAAACCTTGGCAAAATGATCGCTTTTCCCGCATGCTCGACATTCTTTACCTTTTGCAGGACAGTCGCCGTTATGTGGAAAAATTCCACCACAATTGCGACATTGTTGAGTAGGTATTTGTTGATTTCCCGGGGGTATTTGTCGATTTCTGGTAGGAAATTGTCGATTTCCCGCGGGTGCTTGTTGATTTCCAGCGTTCCCAAAGTATCTGGACTTCGATTGTTGATATTTTCCGTGATTTTTTCTGTTTCTCGTGTCTCTTTGGCTTTGCTCGTATTTGATGGAATTTACGGGTGACACGCCTTTTTCTACGGCTTCGGCTTGTGCTTCGCTTCGCTCTTGTGCTCTTCCTGCGGCTAGTAGATCTTTGAGAGTTGGATTATCACGCAAAGCTTGTCGTCTTAAACGTTGTGACAAACACCCAATAATTATTTGTGATTTTACTTCTTTATCGACGTCGGTAAAATCGCAGGTTTGGGCGAGTTGTCTCAGCCGGGTATTATATGCGTCAATATTTTCTCCGTGTTGTTGTTTTGCTTGGCGAAAATTGTACTCTTCGAATGTTGAGTTAACTGAGGCAAAAAGTATGCATTCAGAGCGTCTACTGCTTATTTATAGTCTTGTCTTCGCCAGTATCAGATAAAGTATCGAAGATTTCGTCTACGGCCGGGCCAGCATAATGTAATAAAAGGGCGCGTTTTTGTTTTGCTTCTGTGATGTTCGTCGCTATAAGAAGTCGTTCGAACCTGGTTAGCCATTTTTTCCATCGTGGGCCAACGTTGCCATCGACATGGACGTCAAAAGGTGGAAAGTTTGGCAAGGAAAGATTAGGGGTTGCCATAAATGTTTTAAGTTCAAGCGCTTCATTGAACAATAGCTGTACTGTTGACTATTTTGGCGCGTTTTTTTTTTGTTTGTTTTGTTCGCACTTTGGAACTTCGTTTGGCCGTTTCTGTTGCTAAAAACTCGGTCGTTTTAGCAAAATAATCAATTTGGACGATTTGATTACGTGCAGGTTTATTATTCTCGTCACCAGAATGTAGTGTATCGCGGTAAATATCGGATAAACACAAGAGTATAGCCGCCTGGTTTGGTGTGTTGTATAACTTGTATATTATGAGAATGAATACATTATAAAAAAATTACAAAGCGGAAGTTACTAAACATTAGTGTACAGTATAATATTAACTTATATTAATTGGGCTGGATACTACACATTTGACGCTACACCTTCAAAAAAAACTTGGAACAAGTATTATGTCCTCTCCGGAAGTTTCTCCGAAGTTTTCAAGGTCAATGAAGTACATTTGACGCAACAATTCAATTTCTTTATCTAGTATTTAATCTCTTTCACGGACAACGCTGCATCACGAGTATTACGGGTTTTTAATAGACTTAGTTCATCTTTCTTCTTTGATAGTTCTGTTTTCAGAAATTTGTTTTCCTCTATGAGCTTGTCGATCGTATTTTTGTCCACAACTTTCTCTTCTGAAGGCACAAAAATTGTATCTTTAAACGTAATGTTCTCATAAAAATATCTGTATCAAGTTAATTTATTAAGTAAATTTAACATTTATGTTTAAAAGACGACCAGTAATTAACCTACTGTATATATTTGCTGACGCAGCGAGCGAGCCTGAAGCGAGCGAGCAAGTCAGTAGCCTACGGTGTAGACCCCAGCAGAAACACGTTTCGTGAGGGGTCTACGAATAAACGAAGAAAAGCTTGCCCGGCTACGTCATATCCGTTTTACGTTTTGGGTAAATTAACTTCAATTTATTCAAATTTCTGAAGCGTGCGTAAATGTAAATTTTCATTTGACGCTTATTAAAATGTTCCATGGCTAGGCGTGACTTTGTGCAATAAAACATACCCGACTATATATATACCCAACCATTAAACACATGTCCAAACAGACTAAAAAGTAAAACTGTTAGGCTGTTGAAGTCTTGAAGCTTGTCAAGACATCCAATTTCTGAAGTCGAAGGCAAAGTTGAATTCACACTAAATGTAGCCGGCATAAACGTTTTATCGCAAGTCGGCTTGAATCCCAGTTTCCGCACATTTCGATTACTTTAAGCGGTATACCAATAGCGTTTAATGCTGTTTCCTGCACGTTCGTTATCGTGTTGTCTAGCTCACATATTAAACCGTTCTTTGAAGCTTCTCCGTTTCACCGTTCGTTTACCAACGCCAGGAATGCTTTACAAATGCTATTTGTAGGTGAAATGGAGAAGGAAAGGTCATCTAAATCCTTACGTATGTTCTCCTTGCTGTCCAAGAAATTAATATCGCTTTTATTCGACGGGACTTTGAAGCAAATAACCGCCATGGAACATTTTAATTATAAGCGTCAAATGAAAATTTGCGCACGCTTCAGAAATTTGAATAAATTGAAGTTAATTTACCCAAAACGTAAAACGGATATGACGTGGGCTGGGCAAGCTTTTCGTCGTTTCTGCTGGGGTCTACACCGTAGGCTAGCAAGTCAGCAGTTCTAATTCGTATTGGGCTCTGAAAGTAAGATTTTACTTCCGTTTCTCCAACCAGAATGCACTGCTGTTAACCGACCAGAATGCATTGCTGTTAGCCGACCAGAATGCTTTGCATGCATGATGCTATATAAATACGGGGAATCTCATTAGTCAGTTTATATAAGCCGGTAACGATGCAGTTCTTTTGGTGTATTTTGTATTTCATTGTATGCCTGGTCTGTTGACTTCTGGCTGGTCTTACACTATATATACTGAATTTGTTTATTACAAACAATTTATAACGCTTCGAAAGCGAATTTATGCGTTTGTGCTCTTCGCCTTATTTTTTTTTTTGTCTTTTCTTATTTCATGTAGCACTTAGCAGTAAAATCAACATTGTATTTGACGTCTGAAAGCGTTCATTTCAAGCTTTAAAAGCGAATCAATTATTGTCCGTCAGTTTCACTTTGCTATAATTTAAACAGGGTTTAGGTTGTAGACCTTTTGTTTGAATATGATTTGACAATAAGGTAATTGACACGGAGACATGGCATGAACAGTCCGACAACTGCCAACTATATATGTTTATAGCATGGCGTTTTAAAAGAACGATGCTTTGCGTGCTATTTCATGGGTTAACTAAATGTACTTTGGCTGCCAAAAAGCACACTACACTATACTCAGTGCATACACAACATAGTTTAATTTATGCATGGCATTGTTTAAGCATGCAACGCAGCCAGGGGCAAGTCAGTAGGATCGTGCATGGGATTGAAGTATGTGCATTGAATATTTTTATAATTGATCATGCTTTTGTTATTGCATGTGTCGAAACATTAAAAACAATGTCCTCAACTCTACAGGGTGCATCAAAAAACCTGGAAACTTTTGAAGTACAGGGTGTCCCCCCCAAAAATACCCTCTATAGAAATTATCATATTGTTATAATTTGAATGCCTACATGAGCACTATGCTGAACACATGCAAGAGCGCGTAAACACAATTGAATTTAATTTTTAATTACCAAACAATACAATACAATACAATACAATACAATACAATACAATACAATAATACAACTTTATTTCACTCTTAGATAGAAATACATAAATAATACACAATTCTTGAATAATTGGTACATAGATAGAATTTATATTTTAAATAACATTTTTAGAGCTTGAAAGCTAAATGAACCGTTAGGTTTTCTAGTTAGCTTCCATTGAATTTTATTCTTATTCTTATTCTTATTAGATTAATATAGATTATGTCAGACAACTGAAGAAAATATTAATTGTCCATTAGATTTTGTTAATAGAAAAGCTGAAGAATATATAATAAGTATTTACTATATGTAAGGAGAAAATGTTTTCGAGTGAAATATTTAATAATTTCCAGACCGCACGCAAGGAGAAAATTCTGTCCGCCACAGCTGGGTTTCGAAAATTCTGCTTGTGGCAGGCAGAATTTTCTGCGTGCACGTGGTGGAAATTATGAAATATTTCACTCGAGAACATTTTCTCCTTATCATATTACTTAGTGAACATCAACGCAACACATCAACTGAGTGAACACGTACAAATTTTTCATGTCTTTAGCAAGTTCGAAATGATTTGTTTTTAGATGACATCATGACATTCATATTGTACTTTGCATAGAATATGCAAAACATTTTATTATGCAGAACATGCATTTTATTAAAGCTTATATACTACGTACTACAAATGGGTTAATGCAAACACTTAGTCAATAGCATGTATATATAAAAATATGCCGACTCAATACTCTACCAACAAATAATCCTTTATATATAGTTAATAATTTGACACATGCACACAATGCATTTGGAAGTGTTGCATGCATGCCCAGACTACGTCCTATTCAAAACAATGAGCACCCTAGTAATATGAATTTTTTTCTGTGTTGGACCGTTGGTGTTGTGTACTCAGGTGAATAATATGTTTGCGATGTTACTCTGAGTGCATATCCACACCGGGCGAGCTTGAAAAATATGCCCGGCCACGGTGGGATTCGAACCTACGACCTTTGGAATACTAGCCCAATGCTCTTCCAACTGAGCTACGCGGTCAGGACGGTTCGAGTAAGTGATATTTCGGAACAGTATCTAGTTCCTTCAATATCAATGTGTTCTAGTAATTTTATGAATGAACACAACACCAACACAGAAAAAAATTCATATTACTAGAACACATTGGTATTGAAGGAACTAGATACTGTTCTGAAATATCACTTACTCGAACCGTCCTGACCGCGTAGCTCAGTTGGAAGAGCATTGGGGCTAGTATTCCAAAGGTCGTAGGTTCGAATCCCACCGTGGCCGGGCATATTTTTCAAGCTTGCCTGGTGTGGATATGCACTCAGAGTAACATCGCAAACAAATGAGCACCCTAATTAAAATCAATAAGTATAAGATTTAGATTACTACACAATTATCTCACCGATGTATAATCATATCCATTCCTTACACTTCGTCGCCTTTCGTTCATGATGTCTATAATGTGCTGCCGAATTGCTGCTTTGTCAAAGCCAACAGTCTCAAATATGCAATCATCCAGTTCATCAACAAGAGCGTCCAGTTGTTCTGTTTCTTGCTTGTTCTTTCTGAATATGGGAATATTGTTGCCAGGCCATTTCTTGATGGCTGCAGCTTTAACAGCTTTCTTCCTAAAATTAAAATGTAACTTAATTAGACATCTAGATATAATATATAATATAATGCAACTGTCATTAGAAACAGAGCCGCGTAGCTCTGATTGATTTGGCCGGGGCGTGGTGGCAACGCCCGGAAAAGGTTTAACAAAATCTGTTTTCTAGGCCTGCATGGCGAGATCTGAGACCATAATGTTGGTAATTTTACAAATTTAGTAGTAAGAATAATCAAATATGAAACTATCAAATCAAAATATATATTATTTGCGGGGTGCAAAAAGTTTGGGGGGACGGTGCCAAATACCTATGCGGGGGTGCAAATCATTTCTTGGGGGGGGGGGGGCGCAACCCCCCTCACCCCAGAAAATCTGTGCCTGATCGGAAACACCCACTTGGGAAACTCATTACTCATGGAGGATCAGACTGCTGAAGAAATGAAAATGCCACACCTATTGCTTGTTTGGGATCAACTCTTTCATGCTAAAGCACGCAGGCTGCATGTGTTATGGATTAAATGTTTCTTGTTTTTATTCTCTCATTTTCTGATTTCTTAATGCCTTATGTTTCTCCGGAATGGGGAGTGTACGTTTGAAGGGAGATGCTCACCTGAAATAGTTTTTTACCTCGTCTGATATTTTTTACACCTCCTTATTATAAACGATGGATCATATTGACCAATAATTCTGAAGTTCAAATAGTACCATTACAACCCAATTTCCTGATCCCCATGGTGGGGGAGACTTTTTATTAGGGGACAGCTATGAGAAAAGTGATTGGGGGACAGAAAAAAATCATAGAAGCAAAAAAGGTTTGGAAAAAATGTGCAACAGAATTGTTTCAGAAAAAAATTGCAAGCAACAATAGAACTTTAATTTTAAATTAGAGATAAATTTGAACTCTTTGAAAATCTTTAGGATATTAGTTCTAACAAAAGAAGTACAGAAATTCCATTTCCGATTATCTATAGATACTACAAATTTGAAAATTTTTCTGCTCAACACCAACCATGGGCCAACCTCAGGCTCAGAGAGGTTGACCGCGCACTATGTTGATCAAGCTTCCAATGCCTCTGTCAATAACAATCTCTTATAAACATTATATATATCTTGTTTTTTTTTGTATTTCGATTTTGCTGTATAAATATGAAGAAACATTTTTTAAGACAACAGTTTCAATTTATATAGGTGTATTGGCTAAAAAAATGTTGCTTGCTAGGTAACACATTTATAAAAAATACTTACACAGAGGACGATCTCAAAAAATGCAAATATAAACCCATCCTGCGATCACTTTTCTAGTAGTCCGTCCCTCTAATGACATAATATTAATATAAAATCTATGCCAAATAGATTTGTCTCTGACCAACAATAAAACTGCAAGATGAACATCTGCCACACAAATATACAGGGTCAAACACAAGGATTGTTAATGGTTAAACCTTAACAGTACATCACATAATATCAGTTTTGCGTATCATATGCGTGCGAGTCTTTCAAATATTAAAATATTTTAAGAAAATGGCTGCCATTTTTAATACGTTAATTATTGTACTCCACACTGAAACACTTACTTCGCATTATATACGCGTTTGTTTACTTCGGTGCATTCTTTTAACTCCTTATTTGATGTTTTTTTTCGGGAGACCACAATAGTTACAGGGCTTTCCGTTGTTTTTTTTTACATCCAGTCGGGAGATGACAAGTCGCTGAAATTTAAGTTGTGAACCTACTGTATTCAGTCCACAACGTTCAAGCTGAGAAGTTGTGCCTTTGGTTGCAAGTAATTCAATGGCAAAGCCGTCAATCTGTTGGTCTACAGATGTAAAAATTATTTACTTGTATTATTATCGAATCTTGATGTCAATTGTTAAAAGATAGACTGATGAAAATACGTTTATAAAAGCGAGGTATTTATTCTATACGTAAACGGGCACACGACCGAAGTCAGTTCAGACACAGTACCTGCACATTTTGTTGCGACTTCTTCCCCCCAATTTTTTTTATCCAGTCCAATACATCTTCTTCAGTCATACTCTGAAAGTCAGACATCTTACATATAAAATGCGTATACTACTTTAAATCTTCTTTATTCCTTGCTGCACAGTTTTCATGCTTCGGTGCTTCTTCTTCGATTGCTTGTTTTGGACCTTTTGGCGCCTTTTCTAGTTTCCGTTCACGTGACACTAAATCGAAATATGATTGGCCGTGTGTCATCTCAATCTGTAGAGCACACAGAGCTGGAATTTGGCGGGAATATTTGACAGATGTTTTCATGTTTGTTTTCGTGCTGGCAATGTACTATTAATGAATTCAACTTTTTTTAATCTTTTTAATTGTTATGGGATAAAACTGCTGGCTCTGTCATACCCCATAAAATGCTTGGGGCTGCTGAAGCAGTCAGGAACATACGTAGAGGCGCATGGCAACGACATGATATCGTTTCTTGTCATTGTCCAGAACTATCCTACGTACATGTTCATTGTCCGTGTCCGGTGGTGTGCAATTCAAACGCTGTGTCTACTGCAACAGAACATCGACATTGGAGCAGGGCATGTGAATGTATGGATACTGATGTTGAGTAAGTTACCAGCAAGTTAATAATGATGTACCTGGGGGGGGGGGAGTAACCCTGTAGGGTGCCAGTGGACCGTGGTCTATTGGTTCATGGGCCCTCTAGATGGATGTGGCCCAACATAAAAGTTAATTTTTGGTAGTGTGACTGGGTTGTAGCTAAATCTTCAAAATTTACAGTCACTTTCGTAGTGAGGTGAGTTAATTATGTGATTCTGTGTTTTAGACTTTAGAGGGTTTAATATTTATTATTATATAGTTAGTGTCAAAGTTCAATTTTTCTGTTTGCCGATTGGTCAAAACCGTATCACGTGCCCCACAAAACGTCATGTTAGGCAACCGGTCCACAAATATGAAACATTTATTGACCGGTCAATAATAAAATAGGTGCAATACTCATGCGTGTCAACCCCGAAGTTGCTGGAAACATTTTTTTTCGCCAACATTTTTGGGGAAAATATGGTACCGTGGTAATTTTTGGCCCAATGTAGTAATTTTATGCAGCCAGATGTGGTAATTGCCCCTGAAAAAACCTGGTCACACTGAAGGGGTCCCACTTTTCTTCTTGACCACATGTAATTTCCAAAACCGAGGCAAAACTCGGGGGAAGAGCAAATGAATTGGTAAATCTTCCAATGAATAGTCCTACAATCTCCTAAATTTCTGGAAGTAACTAGTGTGGGCACTGGAACCCCCACTCGCTTAGGGCTCGCGTGTTGTACATGTGCATGTATCCCAGCTCATTGCGTTGTAGAACATTGTGATATCTCTTTATACTGTATGTTCTAAAATTCTTGCTGAAAGCACGTGTACAATTTGATAATAACTAAAAAAACATATGGTTTCTTTAATTACGATTGATTGCAATCATATAAATATAATTGATAGTTTGTATTGGCCTTCCGTGGTAATGCTGGTATGATTATAATCCAACAATTCAATAATTAAGGCATTGTGAATTTATATCAATATCTTATAAAAGTGCAAACTGTTAATTAGATTGTACACTCATACATCAACACTGTTTTTTTTAGTAGTGAAACAGCCGAGTCTTCTGACGGTGAATTAGGTGGAGGTCTGAATGATTTAGATGCACATCTAACTGTTGGCAACAATATCGCACACACCACTTTTCATGAGGAGATGTCTTCTCTTGGGAGTACCAGTACTGAACCTAGTGATGATGAGTGTGATCCAATAGCAGACAGTGATTGCACACTGGAGTCTCCTTTGACTAATCCTGACGAAAGAGAAATCGTTACTGCAATTTTAGAAGCACTGAATTTGGTGGACCAAATACAAGGCTCTCATAAAGATTTTGTCGATGTGTTGGAATTCGCAGAAAAACTGTATTCAAGAAACTACGATGGGGAACAACCAGTGAAATATATGTGGCCCAAGAGTTGGAGGGAGACAGAGATGATTTTAAAAAAATGTGGCTACAGTGATCCAAAGGAATATTACATATGCTTGGACCGGTCTCAAATGGGACGTCGTGTTGAATTCTGAAGACAGTTGCAAGTACTGTGGAAAAAGTGGAAACATAAAGTATTATTATCTTGGATTGCCAGACAAAGTAAAAAGATGGTGTTCAAATGCTAATATGTGCAAGAAAATGATGGCACATTGGGAAAACAAAGAACACTGGATACGTGGCATTGGATCAAACTTTATTTTGAAAGAAGTATGGGACGGGTCTAGATTTAATGAGTTATCCTGGTTCTGGAACCCTGAGTGTTCCTGGATGTTACCTTTCCGATGTAAATTTTGCAATTCTGTGATTGGTGCTAAAGAATAGAAGAATCAGAACAAAATGGAGAATGCTACAATGTCCAATGTTCAGAATGTGGTGCTAATCATGATCATATACCATGCTTTACCAATGGAAACCCACGTAACATTGCACTCATTGGGCACTGGGGTGGTTGGCAACCATTTGGTTACTAAGGGTCTCATAGTTGTGGCAAGTGCATGACTTTTGTTATTTAATCCATTAAATAAATGTGTAATAAGTTCAGAATAAATTTACATTTTAACCCATTAAGTCATAATGCTCCCAAATGAGCCAAATGCCAGACGATTTTACTCGTCAAGAGAAAGTCTTGTGCTTTAATGGGTTAATATTTCTATAAATGCCAGATGACTTTACTTGTCAAGTGGAATAGTAGTGGGGCATTAATTTATTAATGGTTAGTATCATAAAGCACACAGATGTTTACAATTCAAATTAAATGAATTTGCTAATATTCAACTTTTCAAATTGGTAATTTGTAATTGGCCCATATCACATCAAAATCAAACATCATTAAAATAGTGACTGTGTGCTCTACAATCTTGGAGGAAAAGTTTAAAATTATCAATCATTGCACTGTTTCTCCTTCTGTTTTCTACAGTTTCTAATAGTTTTTTATTTGGAAAAGTAATGATACAGTGTTAAAAATTAAAAGATTGTCCGAGATTGTTGTTCTGTCACGTTATGTTGCGAGTGTGACGTGTCAAATAGAAATTGAGTTTGTTTTTTATATCACAGAACACTAGTGTAATGACGAGTGGAGCGAATTAACAAAACTTCTTTTTATTTCTAGGAGCCATTGAAGTTACAATAGCTAATATGTATAAAGCTGAGAGGAGTAAAGTTGAAGAAGTGTATGTGGTTGGTTTTGTACCCAGCTATCTCCTTCCGAAAAAGCGCCCATGTTCACTTGACCCTTGTCCGCGATTACGTGCTGTGTGAATTGTTAACATTAAATTGTGCATGTATAAGTTGTAACGTGTATACAGTAACAGTTGTAACAGTGCTGATTAAAAATAGCAACAAATTATTCATATTTTAAAGGGTTAGAAGTTGATTACATTGGCTCGATTTCTGGCTTACCAAGTGGGAGAACTAATATCCGTTGTTTAATACTACTCTGGACTGGAGATTATCCAGCACAGTGCGAGGTTGGAAAATTTATTAATTGTGGTATACAGCCATGTAGAAGGGATAAACTTCAAGGTAACCTGATACTTACAATAATTAATTTGCATGCATGACCGTTAATCTGTTTGTAACTGCATTTATTAAATTTATTTATTAAATGTAAACTTGTATTCTTGGACATTTTTTCCAAAACTTTAATGTTTACTCATTAATTTTATATACTTGTATTTCTGTCTCTTTCTATCAGGAACAAATTTAAACGGCGGAAGCACTTATTATTATGGAGAAAACATACTTCACGCTAGATTTCCCTGGGAAAAACGGAATCTTAATGACGAAGTGGAAGTGATGTGCACCATAGGTGAAGAAGATCGTAGTTCTGTACGAGCTAATCTTAGCAAACATACAGGATACACTGGAATCAGCGTTTTACACCGACTTCACAAGCTCTACGAGCTTGATGTCATCCGAGATACAGTATTTGATATGATGCACCACCTTCCACTAAATGTTGTGAGAAAACATGTTAAGAGAGTGATGGACGAAGGAATAGTTGACAAAAATGTGTCAGAAAACAAACTTTCACTTATGCCCTGGACTGCAGGTTATATTTTAGAATTAATACTGCATTTTAACCGATCCAATTAACCAATCACAAGCATACTAGGTCAGTGAAAGATGGTGATCAAATCTGAACCTCGCTAATATTGTGTGGAATGATAACCGATTCAGAACGGCCAATCCCGCCTGCTACATGTACTCAGAGGCTGCTATCAAAATATTTTGGATTCCGTATTTCACACTCCAGAGCCTAGTATATCATTTTCCTTAGCACTTTGCGTAAAAATGTCTCACTTTCAATGTGTTAATACCGTTTTGCACCACCCATACATTCTGGCTTGCTTCTCATGTCAACTTTTTGTTGTAATTTATTAACACCACTTCCAAGACTTCCTATTACCAGCGGTATTATTTATACACAGAGTCTTTGGCATATCTCTCTCATATTTAAACACTAGCTGTTGGTATTTGTTACTTTTCTCTTGTTTCATTAGAACTAAAAGATGGAAGATTACCTACAAACATGTCTGACACACATGTAAATGCTTGGAAAGCGGAAGAATTCCAAAAATTTGCATTCCATGCTATGGAGGTTGTCATGAGAGTGGGCTTATGGATGAAAGAGAGTTTCACATTTTCCAACTAATGGCGAGAATGGTTGAGATGGTTTTTAACAAACGTGATGAATGGGATCACGATGATGTCTTTTTGTTTGGTAAATTGGCAAAACGATTCAATATACTAATTGAGGAGAACGTTGGTTTGCATGCCTGTGTTGTAACAGCGCACAATTTGATCCATGTTGAAGAGGATGTATTCAGGTTTTCACTTCCAGACAACTACTGGTGCTTCGCTTTTGAAAGAGCGGTTAAGAAGTACATAAGTATTCCCAACAATCACAAAAATATTGAATGCTCATTTGCCAAGAAGGAACAGAGACGAGAGTTTTTGAAATCATTGAATACAGAGGAAGCGCCTTTACCCCATGCTGCAAAGATTGATGTAGACAAGGTAATCGTTGGTGTGACCATACTCAGTTGGGTTTTGATTTTAGCGTTTCTGCGTGTTAAACCGTCAAACTCAACATTGTTTTGTTAACCAAAATTATACCAAGGTTAAAAATGCGTTAAACATAAGCACTGTTTTACAGTTTTTGGCTTTAGTCATAATAGGTATACCTTGGCTAAAGCTACGCTATAAATTATTTGGACATCATTCTATTATTTTTTCTTAGGCCCGGTTTAGACGGCGAACTTTTCATGCGCCGAATCTAATGCAAGGATTAAGTGCGACGTTGGAGCGGCGTCTAAATCAATTAAGTTCGGCAGGTTTTGATTAAGTTCGACACGACTCGAAGATGCGACAGGACAAGTCGTATATGCGACACAGGTTCGACATTGATTTAGACGCCGTGCTTTTCATGCGCCGAACCTAATGCATAATTATTTTTAACATCATAATATGATTATCATATATTTGCATTGTAAATATTTCCAATATAATGTCTTCGCAATTTGGTACGGTGCAATTAAGTTCGACGTCTAAATCAGTTTCCCATATTTTGCCGTATCTACGACAATTAGATTCGGCGCATGAGAAGTTCGCCGTCTAGACCGGGCCTTAGTCGTTGAAATAAAATTTTCTGTTTTAGATGGCTGCCAAAACCATAACTGAAGCCAAAAGGCTGGCCAATGATGATGAAATTGTCGAAATATCAAATGAAATTGCCGTTATTACTGCCACATGTATTTCTCGAAAGGTGATGTTGTATACCCACGTCCCGCCGATGATATGGACACCATTGCTGTTGTAGATTTTGAAAGACCAAACTTACCAATAAACTTTGCAGATATTACTGTACCATTTTACCCCATGGTGAATGACATTGTTGTTATTAGAGGGGAAAATGACGAGATTTGGGTCGCAAAGATCCTCAAAGTATACACTGAAGAAAAAACTGTGAAAGTGTGGTACTACAGAGAGCAAGGACATGAATTGTTTGTACCAGAAGTTTCCTCACGAGATGCATTAGACATTGTCAACTGGGACTCTATAGTTCATCTTGCTCCCGAGGAATGGATTGATGGCGGTTCTTGATTGTATCTCTAACTAACCATACATTGTAATTCAAATATCAAAAATCTTGTTTGTTGATCTTCACGTCTGTCTGTCTGTCTGTCTGTCTGTCTGTCTGTCTGTCTGTCTGTCTGTCTGTCTGTTTGTCTGTCTGTCTGTCTGTTTGTCTGTCTGTCTGTCTGTCTGTCTGTCTGTCTGTCTGTCTGTCTGTCTGTCTGTCTGTCTGTCTGTCTGTCTGTCTGTCTGTCTGTCTGTCTGTCTGTCTGTCTGTCTGTCTGTCTGTCTGTCTGTCTGTCTGTAAGCCTGTTATTGTTTATACTGTGTATTTCGAATGTCTTGGAACCCCGTTATTGGAGAACTAATCTCTGCGTGGTAATTCCAGCCATGTAATTTATTGTCTAACTAATTTTGTGTAATAGTTTGTGTTAAATAAAAAATAAAAATAAATATCATATTCAGTCCTGCAGGACCCGCATGCAAAATAGCCATTAGATTTAAAAAATTTGATAAAACACGAACTGCGAGTAATTAATTAAAGTGCTTAAAATATATATAAACCATCTTAGTAGTAAAAATAAATTGAGAAAATGAACATGAAAATTTAGGTATTAATTAACAATGATTTTCATCACATCAATTCATTTGTGGTTTGCTCATTACCTGTAATTTAATTCGCTCAATGGTTCAGTAAACTCAGTTATGGAATTTGTCTCAATGATGCATTTTGTAAATACAGTAATGGATTCTGTAAACCCAATGATGGATTCTATTAATCCAACAATGGATTTTTGTAAACCCAATAATGGATTATGTAAACCCAATGATGGGTTCTAAATATTCAATAATGGATTCTATAAATCCAACAATGGATTCTGTAAACCCAATGATGGGTTTTATAAACCCAATGATGGATTCTATAAATCCAACAATGGATTTTGTAACTTCCAATGATGTGTTCTATAAATCCAACAATGGATTGTGTAAATCCAATAATGGATTCTATAAATCCAACAATGGATTCTGTAAACCCAATGATGGATTTTATAAACTCAATGATGGATTCTATAAATCCAACAATGGATTTTGTAACTTCCAATGATGTGTTCTATAAATCCAACAATGGATTGTGTAAATCCAATAATGGATTCTATAAATCCAACAATGGATTCTGTAAACCCAATGATGGATTTTATAAACTCAATGATGGATTCTATAAATCCAACAATGGATTTTGTAACTTCCAATGATGTGTTCTATAAATCCAACAATGGATTGTGTAAATCCAATAATGGATTCTATAAATCCAACAATGGATTCTGTAAACCCAATGATGGATTTTATAAACTCAATGATGGATTCTATAAATCCAACAATGGATTTTGTAACTTCCAATGATGTGTTCTATAAATCCAACAATGGATTGTGTAAATCCAATAATGGATTCTATAAATCCAACAATGGATTCTGTAAACCCAATGATGGATTTTATAAACTCAATGATGGATTCTATAAATCCAACAATGGATTTTGTAACTTCCAATGATG